GACGGAAACGCAATATCGCGTCGATCGCGCGGTACGGCAGCTTCCCGTTTGGCCTGACCTACGCCGACCACGACGACGACGACCACGACGAATATCGCGTCGATCGCGCGGTACGGCAGCTTCCCGTTTGGCCTGACCTACGCCGACCACGACGACGACGACGCCGTCATGAGCGATCGCTTCTACGCCGACAAGCGAACGATAGCCTCCCTGGCGCGACACGGGGGCTGGTGGCCGAAGCGCCTAAGCTCCTACCATCACGCCGGCCTGGCGCGCAGCCACAGCAAATATGACAAGTAATAAACACTCTGTCCGCAACCTGAGGGTCACAGCATGACGTCCGCGGCATGGCGCTGCGGTCGTACGAGGGCGAGACAAGGTGTTTATCATTTGACATATTTACGCGGCTCCTCGTCGAGCGGCGCGGCACATCGCGTTGGGTTTATTTATTATTCATACCTAAAAATTGGGTGAGCAATAAACGGACAGCCTGATCCCTATTAGAGGTATTTACTTTTGTAAATAAGGCCGCAGTTGTGGTAGACGTAGATGATCACATCACAGAAAATCGGTTGAAATAGTTACTCGCTATTTAGTAACGGTCTGGGTGCGATCGAGGCATATCAAATTGTAAAAGAGAAGATGAGCTGTCAGTTTTAGCTGATTCTATATGTGCCCTGTCACATTAGATGTGATAATATAGGTTTTACGTTATTGATTCATTGATAGGTTGGTATTAGATTTCAAGTAGGCTAGTGAAACATATACGACCTACAAACAATGCAATTTTTATTGATTTTTATGTTATCCTGCGCTCTTCCGTTACACTTGAGCCTATATTCGTCTCAACCACACACTCTCCCCCCCCCCTCTCTCTCTCTCTCTCTCTCTCCTTTCCTCTCGCTCTCCTGCTCGGCTTCTCTCTCATTCATCTCTTCTCCCTCTCTCTCTTCTCTCAAATCTCTCTCCACTCTCGGTCTCTCTCTCTCTCTCAGATCTCGTCTCTCTCTCGATGCTCTGCTCTCGTCAGCCGAAGGAAATCTCCTCTCTCTCTCATTGCTCGTTTGTCTCTCTCTTTTCTCTCGCTGCAGCTTTCTCTCTCTTTTTCTCCGCGGTTCGCGCTATCATGCATTGCCTCTCCTCTCTCATCTACTGCTCGTCTCTCTCTCTCTCCCTGTTCACTCCACCTCTCGCTTTCTTCTTCTTCATTCTTCTTCATATCTCTTGTTCTTCTCCCCATCTCTATCTTGCTCGTTCACTCGCTCTCTCGCTTTCATGCAATCGCAAAATTAGTAAATCGACTGTAACCAATTTTTGTGTCCTAGATACTACCAATTTTTGTAGCTGTAACAATGCGTAGATCTCGTGTGTGTGCGACTGCTCGCCTAAGCCTGCTAACATACTTTTGCCAAATGAGTAACGACAAACGCATGGAAATTCTCCCGATGTGCGTTGTAAGTGTTACGCGTACGTGCATGCGTGCGAGAGTGCGTGCGTAATTTTATGAAGAGATAGGACTATCACTCTAGAAGATGGAACTGCAAAAATCAAGTTCAAAAGCGGATTTCCGTATTTTTCGTTCAATCAATCTCCCGGATAACTTTGATGCGCCGGTGTTACGAAGTATCCCCATTACTGGCTGCCAGTCCCGCCAGTGCTTCAGACTAATCAGCTATATCGTACATCAAACGAAAATGAACAAATTGAGTTAGAAACTAACAAACATGCACGCGGGAGTCTCCTTGCCGAATATCTACATGACAATGTACCGCTCGCCGAAACGAATACTATATATATATAACCACTAGGAGATGTTTTCATTCGTAGTTAAAGTCAACTAGTTAATAAAATCGATGCCGGCTCGACGGTCCGTCACTCGGAAAAGTCAATTGATGAAATTCGCGATGTTTTCCCTCTTCTACATTCAGGGGGAATGTTGCTGCCGCCTGCCATCGCAACGCCATCTGTCGGACACATACAATGCAATCATAGATTTCCGTTCGTGTATGAGTCCCGACATGAGTATTATGTTATGATAGATCAAAACGAGTAAGGCCCATCACGAATTATCAAGTACCATATCAGAAATGCAATATGTAAACAAATATTCGAAATCGTAGCCATGTATTTACTGAGAAATTACAATAAACGTTGGTTGAAACACGTGTAGTTTGGCATAAGCAACATAATATATAGCAAACAACGTGGTAATTAATATATTGTGAAATATTTTGCAAGGGTGTACTCGAAATGAGGCAAGCGCGAATGGCCAGATAAATATTCATATACTACTTGTCTACTACACATATCACACGCACACATACGTTTGGCTGATAGATGTAGATAGTTAGGGTGAAAGATATGACATCGGAGAGAAACTCGTAGGTTAGTGACGGTGCTGAATAAAAAAAGAGAGAGTATAAGAGCTATAGGGAGAGGATTGGGGAGGAAGGGCGAAGGGATAACATCTAACACAGGAGTAAGCTGACACACAGACACACACGCACGCAGGCACACACACGCACTCACGCACATGCACGCACGCGCGCGCATATATATATATATTCTCAGAAAGCTAATTCGTTAGTAATCGTTTAGACTAAGTATGTTTTTATGCACTGAACTGACTATCCACACCGATGAAATTATTGCATTTGCGTCATTCCCAGGGGCGGATAAGCGATAGACACCCTGATAGACACAGTTTCCTTTATAGGGGATACTTGGTGTATATCAGACGGGAAATGTGACACTAGTAAACAGGAATAATTATTAAATCCACTTGAACGCACCTGGATATATGAAGCAGCACCATATACCCGTATTTATTCAACTGAAGCAATAGACCCGCATGGGACTAACAACCCGCATAGGCGGAGGCGATACACCGTCGCAATTATCCAATTCGCGTCACTATGTGTCGCGTCGGTATGTGTCGCGTCAGTATGTGTCGCGTCGGTATGTGTCGCATCAGAATGTGCCAACCTCTCCTGGCTGATTAACTTTCCTCTGAGCTGCGTATTCGTCACAAACATTTTCGTTAAATATATTGCCACATATTATCATGCACACCACATACAAAGGAAACAATCAGAAGTAGTTAATAGGGAACTACTATTATCTACTTCTGATACAATCATAATAAGATACAATGATGTAAACATTAAATATAATAGGTAATAACCACACGCTTTTACACTAGAATGGTATAGGATTCGACTTTGGTAGGAGGCTATTTTCTCTGCTAAAATTGAGGTTATGACAATTCGTAACTCACAACCTATCCACAACTCACAACTCACAGCTATACCATAAAGTATTATACACTCACGACCCGTAGGTCATCCATGACGCACTAGCCACTGAAAACTCACACGTCACTCATAACACACCACCACGTTACGCTGGCAAATCAAGAGAGACATGATACAAGATTGCGTGGCACAGCTTTGCTGTTGATCCTAAGCGCTGCGCGCGGATTAGACGCGCAGTTCCGCGGGATATGCGCACGCGACCGCGGGGATGTTCAAGTATGAAGCGCTGTCCGCAGTGGAGACGTGCGCCAAATTCGAGGCCCGGCGCACGTCTCCACAGCGGTCAGCGGATGGTCTGTCGTTTTAGAAGATGACAATGATTATATATTGACGATATTGTAGAAATTGGAGATTATAAAACCGTAACAAAAATTGGTCAGTCATTCTCCAGATTTATTAGCTGAATCAAAAAGATTCGAATTTAATATGAACAAAACATATGTCCCGACAAGACACCCACAAACACATGAATAAATTGTGTTTAAATACATACACATAATCGGAGGAAAATGAACAGAGTCACGAAATACGAAAACCAGACATGAATTACTAGGTTAACATGACCTCGAACTATATCTAGAACGAAATGTAATTAAATAGACCATGTCGGCTGTTGTCATAATAACTTGTCATTTGATTAAAGTTTCGATGCTGGTTCGGTACTAAATAATACAGATAACACTAACACACATTACCCACTAATTATCGAAGCTGAATTTCATGTTACTGTCTGCGGGTAAGATATCGTAAATCTTGATAGGTATATATATACAGAGGGAAGCGCACACATTGAGTAGTCGAATTTTCGAATTGACAACACTGGCCTGGATCTCACGCTGCTGTTTAGGTAAGTCAGTAGACTTAGTACCCTAGAATATCCTATTTAGTTAAATCTATTTTTGAAGAGCTAGTACTATTATAAATTAAAGCTGGTAGTAATTTTGCAATGTTTAAATCAAATTGCTAAACTTATCGTGTAAATGTATGGCTGTATTTCGTTCGTGGTTAACAGTGAACATGTGTGTGTGTGTGTGTGTGTGTGTGTGTGTGTGTGTGTGTGTGTGTGTGTGTGTTTGTGTGTGGGTGT